ACAACAAACTTACAATAAGAATTAAATGGTAAATGATAACCAAATTACAATAACTGATATTAAATGGTAATAAACAAAATTAACTGAAATATATTAAAAAAAAGTCCAACAAATTTAACAAAATAAAGTAAGTATTAAATGAGAAATAATAAAAAATTAAAATTAAACAAAATAAAGTAAATACAAATATAATAAAAAAATCTATCGATGCATGCGTCACGAATGTGTTCCGCATGGCGGTGGCTGTCGGTCTCGAGGAGGATTTCTTCCTATCACTGGTTCTAACTCCTCACCTTCATCATCATCGTCGTCGTCGTCGTCGTCGTCCTGAGCAGGTACATTAGGTTGATGAGGAGCTGATGACGATGAAATACCTCCATAGAATAAGGACCCTGGAGGTGTATGACTGACTATCCCACCGGCCTGCGAAAACTAGAAAACTGGGAAAACCCAGACATCGCTGAGTGTGAAAACTGTACATGAGGTGTTTATGCTGCGGCCATGGGTGATGAGGCTGAACCCGTCAAATATCCAGCATATGAACCCCAAGTTGGATATGCAAACATAGACTCATAATAGCCTCCAGGAGGGGTCATCTGTGACGGTGGCGGCGACGGGGTCATAAAACCAGGTGAAGGCGGTGGCGGCGGCATCTGGTAATGGAAAGGTGATGGCGGCATCGTATGGGGCTGCGACATCATAAATGGCTGTGGTGGCTGCTATGAAGGTCCTGCTGGTGCAGCTGAGGATGAACCGGAAGCACCTGCTCTCCGTCCACGAGTCGGGGGACGATGGTGCTGTGTCGGATCACATCTCTGTCGACGTCGCAGAAAGGTCTGCCCTCGTGCATCCTCGGGAAGTAGAAACAGTTTCCTGTTACTGTTGAACCACTCATAATAACCGTCAGCATACATCAAGAGGTCATCAAAAATGGGCTCTCTACGGGAAAGACGCCGATATCGATCCTCCTACAACACGACCCACTCATGATGCCTCACCAGCCAATCTGTATCTGTCTTGATGCGTCTATATAAGCTATGCAACTTGTCCATATTGCGAGGTGCTTCTAGAATTGGTTGAAAACAACCAAACTGCCGGAGCACGTGATCAGTGGAGTGCCACTTCGACGGTCGCATAATAGATCAGAGGGACCATCGCCGTCCAAACATCTGATGGACCCCTCAACTCAGGTGGGATCACCGCCCTCACATTATCAGTAGAATATGGCACCCATTCAAACTAAAACAAATAATATATAATTTTTATCAAAATAATAATCTAATTATATAACTATAATCTAAAATCGATTTTTAAACAATAAAATTCATACCTGTGTGCCAGCCTTTTGATCGATTAGCACCCTAATTTTTTTCTAAATCATCAGGTAGCTCCTGATGATTTTTTCTATCAGTAGACCAGCTATTCAAGGAAAAAAATTTATTATACGTTGTATAAAATTATTAATATACAAAATCAGTTTTATAATTACCTCAGAAGAAGTGGAAATACGAATGTGTTCTTCACAACGGGACATAAAAAGAGCAATCGATATCATGCCCAAGACTGCAGCAGTAGGAGACATCCGCCGATAGCATTACGCCTGTAGTCAGTGGCTCCACACATCTCCATGTATAACAAGGCCAAAACTGTCGAGCCCCAACTGAATGATCTGGCGAGACGAATGTCGCTAAGATGTCGCAACCACATGCAGTGAACTAGGTTGCGTGATTTGTCTGGCATCAGCAACCCTCCTATCAACTGTAATATGCATGCCCGTGCATACATCTTAACCTCATCCTCAGAGGCGTCTGCGCTCAACTCCCGAAAATTGGCATCTAACCAATTTAACGGTATCCTACCTCCGATAAAACTTTCCGGGACACGTCCTAGATTATCCCAACACAAAGTAGTCCAAAAACTGGAAGCTATCCCTGATATCACATCTCCATCCACCGGAAGCCCCAGGTGCATAGAAACATCCTCAAGCGTGATTGTGCACTCTCCGCACGAAAAATGGAATGTGTGGGTCTCCGGCCTCCACCGCTCTACTAAGGCATAAATAAGGTCTGGTTCTATCTTACAGTGACCCTGATATCTACCTATGTAACCAAATCCAACCTCTACTAAATACGGCAAGACACGGCTAGGTATCATTAACTTAAAATTCCTAATAAAAGGATCTAATACACGGTCCTTCTCCTAAAAATAAATAATTACAAAAATTAATTCTTAATCTAATAATCATCCATTAAATAAATCAACTAATTATTACTAATAATTTAAATTAAATTAAAACATTAAAATGTTATCGTATCAACAAAGTGTCGAGATATATGATTTCCATCCAAGCGAAGTAGATTGCCTTCTATTATATATCTGCAAAAGAATTATATTAGTAAAATATTAAATAAAGTAAAATACTTAAATAAATTAAATACATAATATTAAAAATATTATAAAATATACATTAAACAGAGAGAGTATTTGAGAGAATTTGAGAGAATTTGGTGTGATGAAAGTGATTGAGGATGAGGGTATTTATAGGGAGGATTGGGGTGTGGAGTGGTGGGTAATTAAAGGTATAGCGCGCCCCATGTACCGCGTTATATCCCACGTGTCAGATAACCAGGTATAGTGTGACCCCTGATCTGCGTTATACCCCTACGTGGCGTATAGCGCGGATCAGAGGGCGCGCTATACCCACGTGTAATCCATGTCAGCGTATAGCGCGGTGCAGGGGGCGCGCTATACTCCACGTGGCGCCAAATCAACATATAGCGCGGTTCAGGGGACGCGCTTTATTGCTACCGGTGTTAGATCGAGAAATATAATCTGACCGGTGTTAGATCGATAAATATACCGATCACTGGTGATTTTTTAGAAATTTCACCGAATGGATTATCCAACCTCGTCATCAAGGGAGGAGCAGCTCAATGGGCAAACTATAACTAATAATATAAGTTGGGAGGTACAAAATCAAACTAAACTAAAACTAGAAGGATTAAATAAATAATTTTTTAATGTATTTTCTTAGGGGGCAGTAGTCCCTTCGGCTAAACCATGGCTTCGTCTGTCAATGTGAGTAATAATTATCACGTCACGCCTCTCAATTAAAACTGAACTAAATTTATTGTTATATAACTCAATGTTGAATATTAGTTCTCTTTTTATTGATTTTTTTCTAAATAATGATTTTTAATATAATTATTGATATTTGATCTATTAATTAATTAATTCGAATCATATATTATATAGATCTAGTAGGAACAATTCTCTGTTCAGTTTACTTAATCCGTAGATATCAAAATTTAAACGATTTAAATGATAACTTTTAACGAACTTTGTATTCAATTTTAATTCCAAAATTTTCAGAAGCATAATGAAAATAATATTATCTTTATTATTTCAATAGTTAACAATAATTAATTAATTAACTAGTATAAAATTAAAGTTGACTTTTTGGGCTTCTTAAAATTTTGCAAGTTTTTCTTTCGTTGAGTATATACTTATGTTCATTTATTAATTTATAATTTTTATAAATTAACATTTTAGTTATTAACTTAAAATATTTAAAATTGTTTTTAAATTTTAAATCATCTAAAACTAGTATTGAATGATAGATTATAAGAATGATTCTCCAAACGAGTTATTTTAATGAGCTTTTTTCAACACAAAAATATCATTTTTCTAGCTTTTTGGTTTGAATCAATAATCACGTTTTAAACGTAAATTTTTAACTGAAAATAAATTGTTTGAGAAATGTTTTATGTTTCAAACGGAATTTTTAGTCAAAAGCACTTCTATAAACATTCCTTTTAAGGGGGTGTTTGGTTCAAGGATTGTGGGATGGGAATCCCACATTCCTATGTTTGGTTGGCCGGGAATCTCATTCCCGGTAATGTTTTATTACCAATAGTAGATTTTTTAGGGTATATTACCGGGAATGTCATTACCTCCATTCCCTTAGGTATTGCAACATTACCGGCGTTTTGGACTAAAATGCCCTTAAATTTTTATTTTTTTTCAAAAATATCCTTATTCTGTCATTGAATAATAAAAATTCTACGAATGTTAAATTACAAATTTATCCTTAAATTATTTTAGATTTACAAAAAAAATCTATAATTAAAATTTTATATAAAGTTCAGGGGTTAAAATTTTTTTTACCCTTTCATTAAACCTTTTTTATATTTTTAATTTTGTATAAAAAAATATATAAATATTATGAATTTAATTTTTTAAAGAAAATATATAAAAATTTTACAATTTGTAATATTATACAAATATATAATAAGGATAATTTGGTCAAATATACATTCCAATAATCTTTTATTCCTTTAACCAAACATGGTAATCTTACATTCCTGCTAAACCAACCAAACACAAAAATACAACATTCTCAGTAATCCTATTCCCTGGTAATCTTTTATTCCCACTAGTAATCTTACATTCCGTGAACTAAACGCACCCTAAAAGTAATAATGAAGTAAATTTCTATCATAGAAACTAAAAATATAATCACAAATTTAAGTTTGATTTAAACAATACTTTCAAAAAGTTTAGTTTAAGATTTAAATATTTGTTTCTTCAAAAAAATAAATATTTAATATTATTGTTAGTACGTGTTCCGAAAAGATAAATAATTATCTTAAACATGATATTGTATATTAAAAAATATATTCAAATAATATTTTATTATTATAATAGATAAAATGATTTTCAAATATACTATTTTTCCTCCCCCACAAAAAACCGCATCACTTCCACGCTTTCCTCGCAAGGCGTGTGTAGGACCAAAAAACAATACAACTTAATATTAATTATTGTTGTTTTAAACATGCACTTCCCTCTTTTTCTTTCATATTTAGCTGTGAATCAATTTGCAGATCTTCATATAATCTTTAGCTTTTCATCCGTCACCCATTGCTCACCACATCTTCACCAACACATCACCCTTAATTATTTTCAACTTTTCTTTTTTGGTTTGCTTAATTTAGGTAGAGATTTATAGGCTTGTTAAAACTTGTTCAAGGATTCCATCCATCAAGCTTCATCTCTTTGTTTTATCCCCTTACTTCATTATCAGCCTGATGTTTTAATCTCTTTGGTCAATCCGTTTGTCTTTGCCGACGTTAAATTCTATAAATCCTTCTTGTTTTTCTGGAATCATACATTATTTTACAATTGTTTTGTTCTGTTATACACATCTTTACCTAAACCAGTGGGGTTTCTGGTCAGGATTAGTCATCTAAAATGGAGTGTAGATTTTCTAGTTCAAAGTGTATGACAATGTCCCAGATTGAAAAGACATATTCAAGCCAGTTTTCCAGTGTCAGGCAATTGGTCCAAGTTAAATCCACCCCACTGTTCTGTTCTTACAGAGGTAATTAAACAGATTATGATCAGTCAGTTCAATATTTGTTGTAAAAACAGAACATGAAGTTGAGGATCATCTGTCCTGTTTTTTTTCATGGTCAAAGAAACAAATTTGCATATTTTGATTCTGTTTTTCAGGTATGTATGCAAAGGCATCTCATTCAAGTACTCCCAACAACACTTATGTGCCAAAGAAATCCATGGATTCAGTTGATGGACAAAAACTTGGAGCAGGGAATTTATTGTATCAGATTAACGGAACGAATTCGAGTTTGTTCTCAAGGAATTTGAGGATGCTGGATGCTTTTGATGATGAATATGGTGGAGTCATTGTTGATTTGGAACGATTACCGGCTAATCCAAATGTCTTTGCTTCCATGCTTAGGTTCTCAGTTTCTCACTGGAAAGCAAAGGTACCAATGAATCAAATTAACTCTTGATGGCATAACAGAAGAGTTAAATTTAGGATGTTACTGATATTAAGCCATCAATCTGCAGGGAAAGAAGGGAGTTTGGCTTAAGTTGCCCATCGAAAAATCAGATCTCGTTCCGGTTGCTGTCAAGGTATCTTCAAGCTCCATACATTAAATCATGTCTGCAGACATATATATGTATGCATATATAGTTCACCGGATTCACCAAGTGTGACATATGAACCTGTGACTTCCATGAGTGTACTTAATACTTTTGAAGCGTTTTCGGATGATCATACCCCATATTTACTCTTTGATGCAGGAAGGATTCGAATATCACCATGCGGAGAGAGGTTACGTGATGTTAACTTACTGGCTACCTGAAGGACCCAGCATGCTTCCTGCTAATGCTTCACATCAAGTAGGCGTTGGAGGATTTGTCATCAACGACAAAAATGAGGTACCAAATCACTCGAGCTCCAGTCAACACTGAGGAAGAGAAGCACTATTGTTATAAATTGAATTATGATTCAGTAATTAGCAAATGATCAATTACAGGTTCTTGTAGTACAAGAGAAATACTGTGCTCCTCCGTTTTCTGGACTTTGGAAAATACCAACAGGTTTCATTGTTGAGGTATATATGGCTATCTGATTCAAACTTGATTGAATAGGTTTAAAGTTTTAAACCAAACAAGGAAACTAGAACTAAAATCAAAGCAACAAATTTTCAATTAATGAACGTTTACTTTCGGTTTGGCAGTCAGAGGAGATATTTACAGGATCTGTAAGGGAAGTCAAGGAAGAAACTGGGGTAAGTATTTTCAACTCAATAAGATTTAATCGTATCAATATCAGTAACTTAATCTCAGTTCAAAGTGCATAGAGTCTGATTTTGCTAATAATGCATTGCACTTGTTCGACATTGCAGATCGACACTGAGTTTGTGGAAGTAGTAGCATTCAGGTAACAGATTACTACTGATATTTTTTATGTAATCGAATCGGTCGAACAATTTTTGTATTCTAATCCATGTAATAAACTTGTGGATATTTGGCAGGCATGTGCACAATGTAGCCTTTGAAAAGTCTGATTTGTTCTTCATCTGCATACTAAAGCCTCTATCTACTGAGATTATGGTTGATGATCATGAAATTGAAGCAGCCAAAGTAAGTACCTATGTACATTGTCTGTTTTCTTATTCTATACAATGCTTGCTCCATCTACGTATCCGAAACGAGATGTTTACTTCTATGAAACCAGTTAACTTGTGTTAATATTAGAGTATTATTGCAGTGGATGCCACTAGTTGAGTTTGTGGAGCAACCATTGATTCAACAAGATTGTATGTTCAAGAAAGTAATCGATATCTGCATTGCGTGTCTGGGAAAGCGTTATTGCGGACTATCGGTACATCAATTGGCTTCGACATTTGATGGAAAGATATCGTCTCTGTACTATAATGTCATTGACTCGCAACATAACAACTGTATAGGCAACTGAAACAATTCTATGTCACTGCAAACATTGTCTTGTGAATGTGTTCCTCATCCATGGGGGGCTTGAGAAATGAGAACTACCAGATCTATAACCTGTAATTACACATATATTTGTAATGTAAATATTAATGACTCTGAATGAAAGATCATGAGATGTAATTGAAGTTTCCAGGGAATGTTTACATTTGTTGTACTTTTCTCTGACAGGGATACGGCATCGAACCAGCCTTGCGAACTATGAACAGCTTCGGGATCGAAATGTGAATTACTGTACTCTTTGAAGTAATGTGAGATAATACTTTCCAGATGCTTTAGTTCCACTAATGTTAGGAGTCGAACGATACGAATGGCTTTGCTTGCGAAGAACAAATTCGGTCTAGTTGATGGTGATTGCAAGAAGGAAGTCTATCCTGAAGCTTTGCAATCCCGGTGAGAGCGATGTGCTTTCATGGATCTTGAACACAGTCAGCAAGGAACTCTCGATCGGCATAGTTTTTGCTTCCAGCGCTGCATGTGTTTGGCGATATCTAAAAGAAAGGTTCGATAAGGTTGATGGATCTCGGTTCTTCTTTCTTAACCGAGAAATTGCCTTGATGAGTCAAGGAGAGGCTACTGTTTCAACATACTCGACTCTGTTCAAACTTCTGTGGGACGACACGAGTATAACACTTTGATTCCTCTTGCAACCTGAAATTGTGATGTTATTCAAAGGACTTGGCAACATCTTGCTCAACAACAATTATTTTAGTTTCTCATAGGTCTCAACGAGACTTATGGATCATTCCGGAGTCAAATTCTCTCACCATGCCACCTTCTGCACACCTTCAGTTAATCAAGCATATTCCATGCTTGTGTAGGAAGAGTCGCGTTTGGCTGGAGGGCACCTTGTTTTCAGAAGCAACTGATCTGTTTTCCAATGCTTCTGGTAGCGTCAATTGTCGAAGATTTGGCGGTGTTTGTGAGCATTGTAAAGTGAAGGGACACAAGAAAGAAAATTGCAACCGGCTTATTGGCTTCCCTCCAGATTTTAAGTTCACTAGAAAGATCCTCCGAATGCAATGGCAGGCACTTGGAAGTATGCCCGTTTAGGTCATGCGTCCATTAAAAATCCACATAAAGCTGTTTTATTAGGATCGATTAAACTTGACGATGAGGGCCTTCATACTTGCTCTATTTAAGTTAGGTTACCATTTCCTGCGGGTGTGATAAGCCTTTTCCACGTAAACCTCTGGGAACCCTATAAGTTTTGGCCATACACTATTTATTACCATTCTTGATGATTCCACACGTATGAGTTGATTTTACTTGTTACGATTCAAAAATGATGTTGTCATTTCCTTGAAGCAATTTCTACGCTGGTTAAAATCATTCCGAATCATAATGGTACACAGTTTTATATTAATATAGTATGATAAATATTATCTAATTATATTTTTATACATTAATGTATAATATAATCCTATCACATGTCATTAAAACTTGTATATAATATAAAAAATTTAATAATAAAAAATATTTAAATTTTATGTAAAAACCTAACGTTATAGTTTTCATTGAATTTCATGAAATATAAGAATCATTTCCATTGACGGCTTGACCCTATAAGTTAGAAAAAACCATCGATTAATTTCTTAATCCCGATTAGTCTACTTGTCCCTAGGGTGTTCATTGTTCGAATTTAATCGAACCCAATAAGAATCGATACCAAATTATTATTAATACACATTTTTAAGCTAAAATCCATTAAGAATTAAGATCTTATTATTCTTTTTTGGTTGCCCTCCGGTTCAAGTGATTCGCCCTGACTAATATGTGCACCGACCTGAGTCTCACATTTAGCTTTGGTAGGTGAGTCTCCTCGGGGATTTTCTGCGTACACAAAACACTCGAACCTGAGACATTGCTTAAGTAATATCAAACTGCTTACCACTTGAACCAATGTTCAAGACCAAATTATTTTTTAACCAAATTAAACTCATTAGATTATCAAGACCTAACTAAATATTAACCAAACTAAAAAAAATTAAACTCGTATTAATATAATTTTAAAAAATATAAATTTTTTTATTAATTCAATCACAGACTGAATTAATCAAATTTTATTTGATTCGGTTAATATTAAAAAAACGATTCAATTAACGATTAAAAAATTTAATTAATTCGGTTAATAGATATTTGATCAATTCGGTGTCCAAACCTACCATTTGAACACCCTTACCTGTCCCTTCATTAAAAAAAACAAATAATTGATAATTTATATCTTAAAAAATAACACTAATGGTAAAAGATTTTCAAAAAAAAAAAATACTAATAGTAAAAGAATCTGTAAGTCCAGAGTTTTTTACTTTTACCAATTAAGCTTCCACTTCACTCTAACTGTGAAACATTCATCCATCTCTGCCCCAAAGCTGTATCCTTTAAGCTCCCTTTGTCTGGTAATCCGCCAAGCTTCAATCATTTCCCCTAAGATTTTATTACTTATGCTTTCATTTCTTGCAGTTATTTTTTTTTTCATGCACACGTTGGTTGATTTGCTCGTATCTTCTTTTCGGATTAACTGAAAAAATACATGAGTTTATCCAAATTGGAAAACCCCAACACTCAAATGCTGTTGCTTTTCATTTGTTTTGCTTTGTGACCATAATTAATCCTTGGGGATTTCAACTTTCTAAGGTTCATATGCTTAGATTTCTAAGTAGTCGAGAATTATTTGTTAATGACTTAATTTTGACTTCTTGTTTATTCAATCCATATATTTGTTTTGCTTGGTTTGGTGTAGAGGATGAGGAGCATGTGATATATCCGGGTTGGACTTAAGGGAACAATGTGGTTGTTTCCTTCAAATTCGAGTTCGAATAAGGACGGAGGCAACCAAACTTTGTTGTACCTCATGTTGCAAATATAAACGGCAAAATGAGACGTTGGCAATTGACTAGACAAATAAAAAAAATATTGAACAATCGAAATTGTGTCGTGGTGAAAACCATTTCCTTAAAAATAAATTCGTCTTGATGTGTGTAATTGCTGCTTCAGGTGGATTGTCCCCCAAGGTTAACACGGTCGCTCCAAATTTTGTACACCTGAAATCGGAGCGGACTGTCGGTGGTATTGCTCTTCTGATAGCATCAGAGAGAATAACTCGAAATATCTTTAGATGAGAGGATATGAGAGTGTTGAGTGTGAGTTGAGAGTATCTGATTAATTTCATAATTAAAATCGTGTCTGAAACTGTTGCAATAAGCAGATGAATTTAACCTCAATTTAGTCTAGGTTTGTACTTTAACACTCAACCGTTTGGAACTCCAGGTAATTAACAGAGGAAAATTGTCAAGATTCATTCAAATCAAAACGATAGCTGATTAATTAGTTGTTACGCTCTGAAAATTAAATTGTACAACATTATATAAATATCAGACAAAAATCCTTTCAAATTTTATCTAAAAAGATAATATCCGTGCGGATGTGTCAAAGACACATATTTCCACAAGCCTCAACCTCGACCTCGAGCACGATCCGAGACAGACGACAGTGGTGGCACACAAGATTTCCCTTTGTTCTCTATCACTCAACAACGAAAGGAAGAATGAACACTATAAATACCTAAGCATGTAGTATTTCCCACTCAATGTGGGATAATGTTTTAGCATTACCAACAATAGTCCTCCACTAATGCGAAAGAATTCTTCTGAAACTCGAAATATAACCTTCTCAGAAGAGCAATAACGGAATTATATGCTTAAGCACTAGTGAACTTATCTTGAACTAGTACAAAGTGATGATGAAAAATCCATCTCTTAGATAAGTAAAACTAGTCTTGAACTTTCTAAGATAAGGGTAAACTTATAACACACAACTAACACCTTCATCCACCAAAGTCCTCAATGTGTAAGATATATATACATGAGTGTATATTTGGCCAACTTACCTCAGGATTCTAGTAAGTGCTATAGAAAAACAACCCAACATTTTTCATAGAAGGTGGCTAATCCTTATCACTTAAGTAGGTTATTTCATCAAGTTTATCTCAACATTAACCACACTAAAATGAGTTATGGAATAATTAAGAGCCTTTTACAAGAGGTCAACCTCTAAAAGGTTATGGTGATTTTCTTTGAGTTCATTACAATGAACCACCCAAACTCTAGGATAAGAAATCATTAAGAATAAATATTCAACCTCTTTAGTATGTGAATTCAATGTGTCCTTCTCATTAGGACCATCCAAATTTTGCATTTGAATTCATTAAGAGTTTTCCTCAAAAACACAACATTTTCTGGTGGTAAGTTCATCTTGTCATTCTCAATTAGGACTACCCACTCAACTCTGGGTTATGAACTTATTAAGAATAGATATTCAGCTAAAATCGATAAATTCATCAAGTCTTTCTCATTAAGACCACCCAAACCCTGGGTATGAATTCATTAAAAGCAATCAAGCTCATCACTGAACTTAGATAACTAAGTTAGGTATCCATGTGAATTCCTCAACCAATGGGCTTTAAACCCATCCCCTTCGACGAATCTAGGACTACTTAGAAACAATCGAAACTCAAAATATATTAAACAATCGAAACCGTGTCGTAGTGAAAACCACTACCTTTGAAAAAAATTCGTCCCGATGTGTGTAATCGCTGCTTCAGGCGGATTGTCCCCTGAGTTTAACACGGTCGCTCCAAATTTCATACACCAGATATCAAAGTGGACTGTCGATGGTACTGCTCTTCTAATAGCAGTAGAGAGAATAACTCAAAATATCTTTAGATGAGAGGATATGATAGTATTGACTGTGAGTTGAGAGTGATATGAAGCTCTCTATTTATAGGCTAAGTTTCAGGGGTGAAATTGTCTAACGTAAATCAGATATAAAATCTGATTAATTTCTGAAATAAAATCGTATTTGAAACTGTTGCAATAAGCGGATGAATTTAACCTCAATTCAGTCTAGGTCCGTGCTTTAACACTCAGTCGTTTGTAACTTCAGGTAATTAACTTCGTAACTCTTGTAATCACTCTGTAACTGGCTCAATAAACACTCTGAACAGAGCTGAATAATTGTCAAGATTCATTCAACGTTTCACAGATATGGATTCATAGACTAACAATTTAAAATTTTAATTTTCAGAAATCAAAATTACAACTGATTAATTAGTTGTTACCCTCTGAAAATTAAATCTTACATCAGCCTATAAATAAAAAAAACATTCTTTCACAAATCTTTTTATGCTTGAGAAAAATTCTTACGAATTTTCTCTAAATTTTTTTTATTAACAGCCACAAGACAACATGGATAGTTGTGTGAGATTTCCAATCATTCTCTATCTCTCAACAAAGAAAAGAATAATGAACAGTATAAATACCCAAGCTTGTGGTATTTCCCACTCAATGTGAGATAGTGTTTTAGCATTACCAAGTACCAACATCTCACACCTATAAATAACTACCTTTAATGGTTTGGAATCGGGATCTTCCACTCGGGGAAGGTATCATTTTTTTTATAATTGGATTGTTTGTAGTTATACTCATTCGTGCTGTTCAGATATATGTGGATACCGGATAGTGATAACTGTTCAGTGGAGTGGCATTGTTAGTTTCGGACACCAAGTTTAGTTATTTGATAAGTAGCTTTCGGCATACAGGCATGGGATATTGTTTTCTGTTCCACAACTGTTTATATACATCGAAATGGGATCTAGTGGTCGACTAATGTCCACAAATGTTAATCTTTGATTTTGCAACTTCTGTGGTTTTAACATGTTTTGCCTTCTTTGCTTATCAGTACATGGCTTGGAGTATGAATTTGGAGCCCATGAGTACCCCACAAGTGGGGTATTTGAAGTGGAACCAAGAAGTTGTTCCGGTTTCATCTTCAGACGATCGATATTATTGGGCAGCACTAACTTGCCTCGTTCAGAATTTCGATCACTTATGGAACAGCTTTCGCAGAAATACCATGGCCGGGGATACTTATCATTTGATCGCAAAGAATTGCAACCAGTTCTCCAACGAAGTGTGCATCCAACTAACTGGAAAGCCTATTCCAAGATGGGTAAATAGGCTGGCTCAGTTAGGTGATGAAACTTTCTGCTTTCACTTTAGTGTAATCCAACAAGCTGTATTGTGCTTAATTTACCGAACAAGATGACTTCTAACGGCTCTTGATTGCATACTCCTATGGCATGGTTATAAAAGTATCATATTCGATTTTTTAAGGTTTATAATGCATTCTTCAAATATTTTTGTTATTGTCTACTTCCAGAAAGCATTCAGGTTATTGCAGTTGGACATCTTCCTGATCATCCAGCATGTTCTGGTAAGCATTTTCTGGCAACCATGTCTCAAAGGTTTATCGATTTTCACAAGTTTCACGCAAATGCTTGAAAACGATTCGGATGTTTCGTTTCTTTCATTATGTATTTGCTCATAGTATGATCTTGATCCACCGTGATCGATCTAAAAGCAGTAGTCTGGAGGGCTATGTGCTATTGTGATTTTTGCTGCAACTAATGTCAGAGCTCTTGTGATGCTGTTGACTTCATTTTCATTCTTAATGCGCCCAACTTATTCCATTACTAGTGTGCAAAGTTTTAGATTTGTTAGGAGTATCACCAAATATTCAGATGGTTTAATTATTAGTTGCTTTGCTTTCATCTCCTAAATCTGCACGGTCATAGTGGTGCGAGTGTTGGAGAAATAGGAACTGCCAAATGAAACCGTTAGCAGTCCAGTCCTGAGCCTAGGCAAAATTGCAGAGGCACTTGCGACCTAAAATTATAAATTCAAATATAATTAAAAAAGATAAATTACCTATTTAATCTCTCACCTATTATTTTATGGGGGTAATTTGACGTTCCTTTCGAGTGAGTGATTTTTTTTTCAACCCAAGTCGCAAAGATTTAATTTTCTTTTTCTTTTTCTGGAGGTATTATTGTTGGGTTTCATGTTGTTTTGCAGAGGATTGTTCCGCTCATTCCTCGGCCAATAGTCTCTACTTTAACCTTAAATACATGCACCATACGTAACGAAGCATGACCAAGTTCATTTGGTACTTTTCACCGTTCGTGGTGGCTACGGAGTTGGATAGAATGAGGATTAGAAGTAGAACAAAGGACGTGAGCTTGACCAGGTTCTCAGCAATTTTTACATCATAACGACAAATTAGCAATTTTCGAGAAGCTCATACGAGCTTAATCCGAGAAGTAAAACATATAAATCTTGTTCAGACAGAGGTGTAATTGCCCCACTCAATCCCAAAACTCTTGGTTCGTTAATTAAAATAAAACAGAGACTTGAATTGGAAAAGCAATATTTGATTTGAAAGTCAAATTTAATAATTAAGAATTGAAATTCCCCTTAGAACCAAAATCAACGATATTTGATTTGAAGTGATATAATAAGAGTAATTAGTTGAGACTCAAATTAAACTAACGAAATATGTCAATATTAGGGGTGAGTCAAATAATACAAAACATGATGCCCCACCAAAATCACAACGCTAACAACCATATCTTTAGACCTTCTAAACAAAAGCCCCCTTGATACTACTCATCAATGATGCTTTTATACATCGACAAAATTAGCCTGCTGTGTCACTTACAATCACGATCGAACGGTCCATGAGAGATGGGGACAGCAGGGGCCCAAGGGTTGATCGGTACTGTCAGATTGTGGGATCTCGGATCAACGGTGGAGGATGAGTTGCCCACACGCTCACATGATGGGCACATGGTGAGGGTAGTTGGTGGGGTCGTTTGGGTGTAGAACTGAGGGGAAAGTTTCAGTACTCTCAGCTCCTGAACCTCCTTCACCAACCGCCTGTTCTCCTCCGTCAGATTCTCACAGCATCGCTTCAGGAACTCACAGTCAACCTCAGTCTGCTTCAGCTTGGTCCTTCAGAACGGAGTCAACGTCCCATATTTAGTAAACATGCAAAAGGGGCATAAAAGTAAATTCATTTCGGAATGTAATAAAGTTGGATTACCTTGCCCTTCTGTTTTGGAACCACACTTCAACTTGTCTGGGTCGTAATCCCAGCTGCTTAGCCAAGGCCATCTTTTGTTTCTGCAGACATAAATATTTTCTGTTTGGTTACCCGGAAAATATTTTTCTTGCGTTCTGGAACCAAACATGTTTAAATTACTTACTGGGTTGAGAGTGTTGTGTTCCTTAAAGCTTTCTTCGAGAATAGCAGATTGATCCTTAGAAAGTCTAAGCTTTTTCCTTGAAGTATCACCATCTTCTTCGTCACTGATACCACGAGAACAAGCTCTTTCAATATCGATCTCATCTCCATTAGTGCCTTCTCTTTCGGACCTTTTCCCACTCACACTCGATATCGTGCTGTTGGGAGACGAAACTCCGGCTTCCTCTTCACAGTCGACCGTCGACGGCAAACTGTTCACGTCGATTCCTCTAAGAAACGATCTTGTCTCGGCCCGGAAAGATTCTGAAAAGATAAATGATTTTTCACACTTAGATCTAGATATAAAGTAACGGATTTAAAGCCATTTTTTTATTTTTTGCATGTGAACATGATAACAGAGATTATGAAAACGATTGTCAAAAAAGTTAATTGAAACATGATGAAAAAAGCAAACAAGAAAGTAATAATATGTTTTGAGTTGAACCATAGAAAATCAATAAAAGACGAAAACGAAAACAAACCTAGTGGAGCAGAAACATCGTTCCATGAGAATTTCGGAGGGGAAGAGCAAGAATCAGTTGAGGATGGAATCAGAGAAGACCTTAGATTTAACTGCAGAGATTGTTGATTCTGGGGAAAACCCAAGCTGAGACTTAAACCCAGATCTTCCTTTCCCACCATCATTTTCTTTCCTGCCAAACAAACAGTTTTTTCCTGGAAAAGAAAAATATTCAAGCTTTGGGAAAGGAGAGGGAAAAGAATGATGAGTTGTGGATGTGAGAGGAAAGGGGTATTATATAGAATGAAGTGCAAGTGAAAGTCCAATGACGACATATCACTGAGGAGGCCAAGGCCAACTATCTTATTCATAGCATTTGCCCCCACAATAATACCTACCTTATTTCTCCTTTCACCTTTTAACAATTTACCATATTAAATGCTATTTATTATAAATACGATTTGCATTCCATTTATTGCAGTTTCATATTTATCCCATTATTATATTAATAAAAATTCAAATTATTTTAGTGACTAAACGGTAATTGTTATTTTTTAAAATCATGATTTTGAATATCACATAAAATTTTATTATTAAATAATAATAATAAAAATTAATAAAAAAATATCTTATATTTAATTTAAATTATACAAAAAATCAAAAATCAAAATAAATCACAAAAAAGTAAATATTTTTAGCTTTTTTAGTTAATTTTTGGCAAGTTAATTAATTGAGTATCTGTCTACCTAATTGACAACCAAACTTAATTGGAGTAACTTTCCATTCTAATTCATGCAAGATTCTTATCGGGGGATGGCACTTAACACGCTTCGGTGGCCCATTAAAATCTTTGGCAAATAAATGCATTATTAATGGCATGATTCGCAACATTGACTACTATAAATGTGATGGGTCTTTTAAAATAATGATGTTAGTTTTTAATTTCATGAAGTCAAAATATGAACAATTCATTTTTTAAAACAACCTTCGGTGGTCCATTAAAATCTGTTTAAAATTTATAATACATTAAAATCTGTTTAAAATTTATAATAAATTGATAACGCATACACTTAGGCATGTAAACGAATCGAACGAACATAAATGGGGTATGTTTATGTTCATTCGTTTAATTTTAATCGAATAAATGAACGAACACGAACATAAACGAACGAAAAATTTCTTGTTCGTGTTCCTTCGTTAAGGAATGTGGCTTGTTTGTGTTCTTTCGTTAAAGAATGTGGATTGTTCGTGTTCATTCATTTAAATGATAAATGAACACAAATTAACGAACATAAATGAGCGGATGTAAACGAACACAAATAAACTAACATAAATTAATGTAAACGAACATAAATGAAAATATATTTTTTTCTTTCCTAACAATATTAGGATTATATTTTATTTAATTGTTTTGACCTTTTTTTATTTGTAGTTAAAATTAATTGAATTTTAAAATATTTATAGGTATCAAATTAAAATTTATTGGGATTTAATATTTTAAATGGGTCTAGAGAGATTGGACTAAATATAAATGAACGCGCATAAACGAACATAAACGAGTGAACATAAATAAACGAACATATTACCGAGCGTTCACGAACGTAAATGAACGAACGAGCCCTCTGTTCATGTTCGTTTATTTAATTAAACGAATACAAAATATTATTCATGTTCGTACGTTTAATAAATAAACGAACTTCTCGCCGAACGGTTCGATTTGTTTACAGGCCTACACACACTTTACAAATAAAATCAAACGTATGATTTGATGATAAAATGGACAAATATATAAAATTTTAAAAAGTATATTCATAAATTTTTATTAGGTGAAAAATGTTTTTAATAGAATATATAAAAAATATATAAGAATTTTAAATTTTCTGAAGGTAAATGTCCCCACCCAATCCCTTTGATTCATTCATGCTTACAAACCCAACATCTCAAAACTAAAATCTCAAAAAAAAAATTATTACTTCTTTTTAATATTAAAATCACATGATAGATTCAAAACTAACCATTTTCAATTCAAGAACATATGTTACACACATACTTCTCCTTTACCATTTTCAATATCAATATGATTGAAAGAACATCATCTACCCAAATTGATAGAGATCATTAAAGATTTATATATTTTAAATTTAAAAATGTCATTAATAAATCTTTTCATCTCATTTAAAACATGATCATATTTATATTAAATCTGTACGTTTATTTGATATTAAAAAGTCATAAATCAAACAATAATAAAATGATTTCAGTGATTAAAATATTTATAATTATCTCTTAAGATCTTAAATTTAAATATTACGCATGTCAAAGATATAAACATTAATTTAAATAACTGAGAAATTTTTAACAAATATTATAACCACTAAAATTAAAAAACAAATTATTGAAGTTCATTTGATACAATAACGAGGGTAGGGGTGAATTGTGTTGGTAGGCAGCGAACCAACCAAGAAAGTAAATGCAAGGGGCATTACTCTCATTATTTGTCTTTCCGAATCCCAACTAGAAAGACCAGAGCAGGAAATATGTAGAATGATATCACCATGAATCTTATTCATTTAAATCCCAACCTTAAATATCGCCAGTTCCCTTCCCTATAAATACCTCTCATCCGATAATTATATCACATAAAAAATATTTTATTTCTTCTTTTTATATATCATTCTATCAAATTTTAGATAATTATATTTATAGTTTTTAAAAGCTACATTTTTTATTATATAAATAGTATCAATAAAATATAAATTAAGGTTAAAAAATAAAAAATATTCACAACAATTTAAATAATATAATTAAATAAATAGTATACGAATTAAAATATAAACTAATACTAAAAATAAAAAAACTATAATAATTTAAATAACATAATTTAATATTATTACTGTATCAACAAAATATATCGAGATATGATTTCGCCTTCATTTTACAATCGTAAAAAATAAAAATAAAAAATTAATAAAATAAAAATAATACAACGTGTTAGATTTCTCAGCGAGTGTGCATTTCATGATCCACGCCTTCACTACATGGTGCCAACTAGAACAAAATCCCGCGAAGACGCTCTTCATGATCCTCGTTTTTGCACCGAGATGCCAACTCATACAAATCTCTACGAAAACGCGTCTCATAATCAATATTTTGTCAGAAATGGTATTAGATTAATAATATTTGGAGAAATGGTGTCTGACAGATAATATTTTGTTGTTAGGTGTTATTTGGGTAATTGCCTGATAGAATGGCCGCATGTTATCTTCTGCGGTACTGTGCATTGTTTGGGAATCAAAGCCAGCCTCTCAGATGTGATTCTCCGGACAACCATCAAAACGTGAGTGGACGGTCATGATTGGAACCAGACAGATCAAATCCATCCATTTATTATCAGGACCACCCATTATCCTTCTCAGAAAAATCTAATACGCTCTCATGGGAGGTGGGCAACGGCGTCGCATTCTTAACCTTTTCTATTACAACACAAACTCTTTCATTCTTTTTTCCTCTTTTTTGCTATTGTTGTCCGATGCGCACCATGTAGCGTAAGATTCACGCTCGATGAAACGAATATTGATCGTATCGCGAGACACTGAAGCGTGATCTGACGCGGGGACGAGTGCGTCGGTACGGAGTGTAGGAGTATATGGTGGTCCTTAATACTTGTGTATGAAACTTGAGGATGCGGCTTGGTGGCTGTCAATATAAGTCGGTTCATTATCAACAAAACACCAATTATTGATTTTGGCATATTCTGATTTGTTTAGAAAAGTTTGAAAATTAATAATAATTGGAAAATTCTGCAAATAAAATTATATTATTAATGTTAGATATCAAAATAAATTATTAAATAAATTATCTTATCAAATAAATATTACAAATTTTAAAGATTTATCCATGATTAATCATATTGGCCCCAATTGTATTTAGGCAAGTGAAGAAGAGAGTAGAGACAGGCAGAGTGGAGTTCACGTGGTTAGGGATGGGCATGAGACTCAAACTTGACGTGTTCTATCCAATTTGAATTAATTGAGTTAGATTTTTAAAAAATTAGATTTAGATTTAAGGTAAAAATATCTGACCTGACCTGACCTGATCCAAAAAATATATAATTTTATTTTATATATTTAAAAATAATTATAATAATATTCTTTTATATATTATTTTTTAATTAAATCACTATTTTACTAAATAAAAATTATTTTTATTATTACGTGTCGAAAAATAATATCTTTCCCATCTCTACACGTGGTGCGATAGAAAAACTCTCTCTCATAACTCACCTGAACCAACATATCTTGCCTGGGGACACGTGCTCATGTGGACCCCATCTCACACGCCTCACTGTGTCCCTTCACCCCCTGACAAACACTCTCCCCTCACAATCATTTGAAACTCCCCCTCCCCTTTCACTTTCTCCCACGCGGCATCACCATTCTCTATCTCCAGGTTTCCATGCAACTTGATCCCTAGCATTGTCTTCCCAGCACTTCAAACACCACTATTCAAAATTACGTGAATGCCATTTTGTTTTTTAAAACCTTATTAAAAAAAATTAAATTCCAGGCTAAAAACATAACTTGAAGTCGGTATATATTTGAAAACCATTTCAAAGAACAAGACAAAAACAGGATGAATTAATATAATAAATATAATTTAATAATTTAATTGCATAAAGCCCTTAATTTCGTTTTTTAAATATAATTTATATATTTTTAATAAAAAAATTGATTTTCTGTTAATTTTAAACTATTATTAATTTTTTAGAGAGACCAATTGACAATATTATTATTTTAATTAATTTGAGGTAAGTACAAGACAATATTTGTTCAAAGATAACTCTCAACCTTTTGACATTGAACACTCACACATTTGACATTCATGGTGCTCGAATCTGGGTCTTAAAAAATAACAACAATTCATTTACCAATAAGCTCACTTGGTTCATGTCAATTGACACTATTAAAAAAAATAAGTATTTATAGTAGTTTTTATTTAGTTTGTTTGATTTATTAATTTGACTTAGTTTAAACTCAGAAAATTAAATAATTCAATCTAAAAACTAAACAAATTATATAATTTAATTCAATTAATTCAAAATCTAAATTTTTTTATTCTTTACTCCTGTAATTTTTAATTCCAACTTTAAAAAGAATATATAGGGTTTCCAAAGTCGCACAAATTACAGTAGTAAACCAATAACTTGTTACCTATATTGTGCGGTACCAACGATCCTAATTCAAAAGTAACATGCATACTCTAATCAGTGGTCAGAGTAGACATAATTTGTTGGTTTAATGTTGAGTTAAAAAAGTCCCACAAGGCAAAGGACAGAGCTGGTTGGAAACGGCACAGGGATTGATTAAAAGGGAGCGGGTGACAATGATATCTCATTTAAAAAGTTTTAAATTCTTATATATTTTTATATTTATGAATAAAATTTTATTTTCGTTCTTTTATAATTTTATATTTTAACATAAAATTATTATTTATCTAATTAACACCCTTAGACCAATATTTATCAAAATATTATCCTTTCTAGTGAAGTATGTTTTATAAAAGACACCTTAGGTATACATGGTAAAGACACGTTTTCTAGTGAAGTATGTTTTATAAAAGACACCTTAGGTATACATGGTAATTAAAGACACGTTTTATAGAACGCATCTTATAATGATTTGGAAGCCCACGTGAAAGGTACATTCTACTGACCACGTCTTCCCCCTAATAACACCACTCTAGTTTTAGGGTTTAAATTTTAATGTTTTATTTGTTTTCCAAGGTTTAGGGTGATTACAAGTTGGGTAGGATTAGGATTAGCGATTTAAGGTTTAGGTTCAAATGACATGTTGTTGTTGGTACTTGAACTCATGAACTAAAAATCATCCAAAAAATATGAATAAAACTTTTAACACCAATAAGATGTTCGAAAATTTTCAACACAACTTTTAACATTAAATTTTGGACTTAATTTGTAAAGTATTGATTAAGTTGCCAAAATAATAGTAATATAATATTTTTAGGGAATAAAAATATAAACGTGTTATTTTACATGAGGGGCTATAAATGGGTGTGAAATGCTTTACTCTCACTTGAAGAATAAACCATCTAAAAAAATTTGTCATTCACCTCTAAATTTTAGTTTTTTTTCTTTACATGACTACTTTTATTGCAATTGTTTTTTATGATTTTAAATCTTTCAACATGTTTTTGAAAAACATTCAATTAGACTAATTGATCATAAAGATCGAAAGAAAGATTTAACCGAGAAAAAATAGAAGATTATCTTCGTTACATTTTAAATTGTCAATGTCACACACAAAGTTTTCTATAAACCATTATGTTGACATTGTTGATATGGTTGACACATACAGATCTCATTCTATATCGAATGTGGAGTTGTATGTAGAGTTCGTTGAGGTTGATAATGGTGCTTCTAGTTTGAATACTAAACTAAAGGTAGATAATGAAGAAACAAAGGTAGATGAATGAGAAACAAAAATAGATGATAGAGACCCGGAAGCATAGTATCAATTTATCTACGGTAAACATGAATAAAAAACATGAATAATTGAAGAATTTAATATTATTTCTAACGATTTTACTGATTACAATGACTAAAACTTCTGATTACAATAACTAAAACTTTCAATTAAAAGTAGTATGTTTATGATTTTATTCAATGTATATTGTTTTAATCTGCTTTCATTAGAAATTGTGACATTTTTATAAATATTATTCAAAGGGTTAACTTGGTAGATAATAATTTTTGGGTAAAAATTAATATTTTAAATTAGATTTTTTTGAAGTTGATGATAAAGTTGGACTATATCTCATAGTGACCAGAGTTGTTATGATGGATGATGGATGATGGAAAATAAGGTTGATGGTAAGATGAGTGTCATCATTTGTTTTCTTGACATCCTCACCATATTGGTTGACAAATTAACCAACATGTGCCGAGGAAGAGGTGAAATTATGTCTTTTCATGTCTTTGCAATCAATGCTTTGCTTACTTTAATAAATGAGGTGAAAAATTGGGGGGGGGGGATCTCAACGATAAATCTTTTGTTTCAATAATAAAACAACCGCATACCACTTTAATTTTGATGCATGTTCATGCTTTTGTCAAGAGACATAATAATAGTGGAAGACTTCTGCCCACAGTGTAGCTATCGAATTCCTCTATATACTTCTTTTTGCCAACAAAAAAACTGTTACAATTCTTTTTTTAACCTAATTTTTATTTTAATATTTTCTGTGATCTTTTTCTTTTTTTTTTGTTTAACTGACAGTAGTATTAATTTTAGTATTGGTTGTCGATCGTCGATGATTATTAGTTTTCTTATTTTTTATACTATGTTTTTAGTCTTTTTAATTTTGAATAATAATCTCTATCCTCGTGACAATTTTTTCTCTGCTCTTATGACACACATTTTCTTTACTCTTGTGGCACGATCCTTTCGATTTTTAATATGTTTTTTGCATACATTTGCGGTTGATTTGGTGATCCTACAAAAAGTATCACGACATTTATTTTCTGATTGGTTTATCGGTGGTCATGTATAGTCAGATCCTCTATTTGGTAAAAGGTTGTTTGATGATATAATCATAATTTTGTAGAGAAACAACCTGTCACATTGTTTGGTTTGTTCCTCGTTCATTTATCACTTCGTAAAATGTCTCATTCGACATATATATAAAACTTTTATGAAGTTTACTAGATTCTTTTGATGTTGGTAGTCATTCTAAATGGAATGCTTTTTTCGTCTTCATATATTTAGGTTTAATGTTTTATTTTTCTACGAGTATTTTGGTTATTATTGTCTCAAATTTTCTCTTTATATTTTGATGTATTTTAATTCTCATTCATTTCATTATTAATGAAATCCAGTTACCATTGTTATTGTTTTTTTACAATTATTAAAACATAAAATTAACTCGTGATTCAATAGGTGATTGTAATGACTTAGTTATTGTGTTTGATTTTTTTTAGTATATACTTTTTTGTTGATGAATAATATGGGATAAAGTACACAGATGATCATTATAAGACGTTTTATTGAATTCCTTAACTATTAAAAGTTATAAAATGGTCTACAACTATAGAATACTATTTTGTTGGTCTCTCGACAATTAAAAGTTACAAAATAGTCATCTGACTATTCATATATTACAAACTCTTCGTTTTACATTAAAAATTGATGATCGTCTGAGTTAGACGTTAACTTGCTGACTTGAATACAATAAAATTTGATCTCATAACCATTGAGTTGTAGAGTCGTTTGAGATTTTGAATCATATTTGATCATATCCCAGTTATCAGGTTAATGTCCAATTTAATAGATTGTAATTTTTATAGAAAAATGATGAGTTTGGAGAATATGAATAGTTAAATGATCATTTTATAATTTTTAATAGTTGGGGACTCAACAAAACATCTTATCGTGCATGTTTTATTATTATTAAATGTGTACAATTTTTGTTCATATTTTTTCGTTTTATTTCAGTCTCAATTAAAGAGTTTTAATAGTTTGTGTCATGTATGTGGAAGACACTTCATGCAAGAAAACATTCTTTTATAACCATTGATTTAATAAATTAGTTGTTTAATAATATACAAGTACCTAATATGCAAGTACCATATAAAAAGATGTTAAAAATTTAATTAACAAACTTGGACAATATGAATATATCTGATTGCAGATAACTCCGTAAAAAAAATTATATTTTGGGGCTTTTTACTTAAGTTATTTATTATCTAAAAGCCATTGACATAACGTTTTAGTTGCATATAGTTGCATTTAGGATATTTATTGCATGTGATGGAAAAGTTTTGCATCGACTAGTTATATATATATATATATATATATATATATATAATTGATGTTGCCAATGAGAAGTGTTGTGTGTTGGTTATGATGATGCAGGTGATAGGAAATAATCGAGGAGTAAAATATTTATCGAAACAAATTTTGTACAAGGGCCAAAAGAACTGAAGATGATGACCATAAGGAATTTTTAGTCGCGACAAGTTTTTCTTACAAGTCTGGAAGCAGTACAAGACAAAGTAGCTGACGTCGTTCGACCAGTAGTCCAAAGAACCTCACGTGAATTTCTTGTCCCTACTGATATTTTGGGACCACCGCTAGCTACCTTAAAATCACATTTTGGGCTTGATTACAAGGGTAAATAAGGGACTTTCAAGGGCATAAAACCCTAGAAATTCCCCACTATAATTAAAAAATGATGCCTATATTTTTAGGGTCCCTATAATTTCCATATTTTGAGCTTTTGGAGGCAACAACACAATTTTCTTTATCTTATTCCTTCTTCCCTTTTTGGTGGTAACCTCCATAGCCGAGCTTTATCGGGGTAGCCGCTAGGCCCTCGAGAGAGGCTAGCCTGCTGGAGCAGTCATGGTGGTGGTTTAAGTGTCATGGTAGAATCCCCATTTTGGGAGTTTCATTCTCTTTTTCTTTTCATTTTCTTATCTTTGTTGGGATTGTTTTTAAGGATTATCTTGCTTGAACTTAACCACACCATGAACTAATCTATTTGGTGTTGGATTTATTATGATTGATATTTTATTTCATGTTAATGGATGTTTTTTAGTATGTGTATGTTTAAAGTTGTTGTTTTATTCAATGTTTTAACTTTATACCATGGTAATGTAAGAGCTTTTGAGAGATTGTCATTTGCCATAGCCTAACATGCTTAGGCATTGTAAGAGCTTTTGATAGATAGTTGTTTTATAAGTGTTTATACCTAATATCGATAGAGTTAGTTAAATCTACGTGAACAAATGAACTAATCCATGATGGTAAGGTTCTAATCTGACTTAGAGATAAGGAGGTGGTTTCAATCGACTAAAAGGGATAACACTTAACCGATAGGCTAGGTTCATAGTTTACGCTGAGAGGTATTGTCGTGACAAAAGTTTATCAGGTTCCTTACTAGAGATTGCCTAGGAACACACTTTAGAAAATCATGTCGGGCATCATTCATATAAGGTACTCGGTCATCCAGGCATAGAATAATTTATCGCCATAGCAAGTTCAACCTGTAACACCCCCAACCCGTATCCGATTCGGATACGAATTTGAGATGTCACATTGACTAATCAAAACATGTAATTTTATAAAAATCATAGAAAAATTAAAACTTCCATTCTATAAAGTTATTCTTTTTACATAAAACATGTTCAAAACTTTATCAAAATCCATCAGAGCATACATACTTAATAATTTATTTTACATGCCAACATACTAATTTACATAACATAACATACTTTACAAAATATTTCTGATCTGATCTTTGAGTGGAGATATGTTGTTCTGCTGGTACTAGGCTTTATCCTCTTGCTTATCAACACCTACGCGTAAGATACTTACACGCTAAGTTATAGACTTAGTGAGATATGTAAATACATATGTAATTAATAAATGCATGTACATACCATATAATACACATTCCACTTAAAATTTCCTTAAGCTCACCTTTTGTAGTTAAACCCTACGTGAATAAGATAAAGCAAAAAGAATAAGAAGAAGAAAGCTTCCAGATAGCTCTCTTCCCATGTTTTTCACTCTTATATAAGGGGAAAAATATCTTTTAAAGGACAAAGATCATAATACCCTTTCAATCTTTTCCCGATTACAATTTCATCCAATACTGAAATATTCCTATTTAAGTTATTGAACTTTTTAATTTTCCTAAATTGATCCCCAAATTTAAAATTTTCTCATTTTATTCGCTGACCCAGATTTCGGGATGTTACACAACCATTTACTCCATAGAAGCTTGTTTGTGTGAGATTATTAGTGTGTTTCCAAAGCTCAGATAAATTCTTATCGTGGCATATTTTTATTATACTTGCTTCAGTGTTTATAGAATTTCTTTCCACGACATAATTTTCCATTTGTTCATACCATTTCTTGCAAAAGACATAAATTTCCTCACTGTGCATACCTTTTATATTTTTACCTAGTGACATTTATTTGCTATAACATATTTTTAAAAACCCTCCAATTCATGTGGAGACGATACTCACTCACTATATTACTTGGTTGATTGTGTATACTTACGCATAATTACGTGCCACATGACTATCTATTTACACGCGATCAATTAGAAAATGAACCATAAAAGGATATCAAATTATTAAAAGATCATAAGAAACCGCAAATCAAAAGTGAAAGAAGTGCGAAAATATTCATGAACACAAATCGCATATTCAAATCTAATTTGAGAGCCCAAAATAAGGAATATCAACATGATAATAAATAATTACTATCTTGATTAGTTGTGACGACATCAAATCTAACTATACAGAAAAATGAAAATAATGATCAAACGATAAAAATATATGTCAAAAAACAAAAAATGTACCACAAAAACATGTGAAAAAAGGTCATAAATAAATGTTATTAAAATTAGGGTAAAGTACACAATGGTCCCTCGACTATATTATTTTATTAAGTCCCTCGATTATTAAAAGTTACAATATAATCCTCCAACTATAGAGTGTTGCTTTGTTGAGCCTGTCGACTATTAAAATTTATAAAATGGTCACTCTACTATTTATTATGTTTCAAACTCATCATTTTCTGTTAAAATATTAATGGTATTCTGAGCTGAACATGAACATGCTGACCGTGATATGATAAAATATGATCATAGAATCTCAATCGACTATTATATCTGAAACATCATATTAACGTCTAATTTAGACAATATTCAGTTTTTAACGTAAAAGAACGAGTTTAAAACATAATGAATAGTCTAGTGACTATTTTGTAACTTTTTAATAGTGAATACATTTAATAAAATAATATTATATTATCAGAGAATCATTTTATAACTTTTAATAATAAAAAAATTTAATGAAATAACACTCGATAATCGAAGACTACATGTGTACTTTACTCTAAAAATTATTATTTAAAATAAATTAATATAACCACTCTTGATATTCAAATCGACCATCTTCTAAATTGTGATTAATCAATAACCCAAGTTGCGTATCCATTGTTACAAGTCATGTGGAATCTACAATGGCGCACGAATTTCCTTGCAACCGACAGACAGCAAAGACACGTGGATATTGTTTGCTCACACGTGCACTCTCGGACAAAGTTACCTCTCCTTTGCTGGATCCTAGTCAACGGTCAAACCTAAATCATTTTCCTTATTAGTG